AAATTTTTCCTATTGTTTTATCAATGATTGTTGAAGTATTATAAGATGTAAGCATCATTCCTTCCATTCACATGACATGTAAGCCACAGATTTTCTATACAATATTTCCTTCAATTTCTTGTCATCCCCAGACTCAAGACTCTTAACTTTCATCACTATCATATGCTTATGCTCCTTTATTGAATGTTATTCATGCAGGAAACAAACACTTTGATTTCTTGATTTTTCTACAACCTACATGTTTGACATAGATACGTAAAATTGATGTAAGACATGAATGTAACAATGTGACTAATCCCACATGAGACAAATAATTTAATAAATGATTTGTTTATGATGACAGTTCAATAGATTGAATAATCTACTTCCAATACCAATTGATTACTTGTTTTTCTATTCTATTCCAGAAATATTAAAGTTGGGGTGATCAATAAGATGTTGTCGGGAAATTAGGTTTAAGTCGTCTTCGTGTGTCAATATATCAGCAAGTAAATGCTACGAATCACGACTAGTTTATTAAAAACCGCGCACAAAGAAACCCCAATTCAAATAAGTCTCATAAATATATCATAAAAATATTTACTGTGTTATTGTTGAAAAGTTCAGACTTGGCAATCATTAAAGTATTTCGTAATACACGACGATATCGAAAGATCAAGGCTGTTCATAAAAACAGATAAGATTACTATTGTTCTGTCAGACAAGGAAGCAAAACGAAATGAAATATAGAAAGCAGATTCGAATTTAAGTGAAAGATTTATATTGAATGTCTAAGAGAATTGCTCATCATAAAAGTTGAGAAGCACATGAATAAGCTTTCTTCTTAACAGACGATGAAGCCCTTGAAATGATTCTTTGTTGAAACAATTTTTATCAAACTTTGCAGACAGCAAATTTTTATTGTTCTTGATAATTTGGAATGAGAAATATCCCAAAAACCTTCATTAGCATATGTGTACCCTTACACAGCAATATTTCGATAAGAAATGCTCTACAAATATTTGAGAACTCTCAGAAAACCCCCAAAATAAGAGAATCGCAAGGAAAACAGAATTTAAGGAACCAAAAGAGCGAACATAAATGGAAAAATCTGCTGATAAGTCATCCGCGGTTCATTGCATTTTCTTATATTTCTTCTCAAGGTTTATGGTCTTGTTTTTCATTGCTTTCCTTCCACATCTCTCCTTTATTTTTATTAGCTCCATTTCGTTCATAATATTCGCTTTTCCTATATATGTGTGTACACATTTAGTTTGGAATAAATCTAAATTGCAGAAATTGGAAATTTTCGGCATACAACGGAAGATAAACAAGGAAAGAAAAGAAATTCTCTGTTTTATTTACGTGAGGAGAAAAGAATTTCGTCACATTTCACACAATTTGCAAAAATATTTATGAATTTTCATTCCTTTCAATTTGCTTTACTGCCTTTGTTGTTAAAAGATGAATACCAAAAGAAATTCAATTTAAAATAATTTTAGATTCAATAAATATTTGTATTTTAACGCAAAAATTTCATTCGCAGCCACACACGATTGAATTCAGTAATGGAATCTTTTATATCCAATATTTCTAAACACATAACTCATCTAAACCGATTTTGATTATAAATAGATTGTAGACTAAATCAATTTTGAATTTCTTTTCCTTTAACATTTGATTACTTCCACTCATCAAGTCAATAAAAAATTTATCTTTATAGTCTAATCGCGTTGAATACAATCTCTCGTCACCCTTTATCATCTCAAAACCATATTTTATGTGTTACAACAATTGTTCTCAGAGAAAAGTGTCCACAACAGCATGTCTCATCATCAATTAGTGTCCAAAGACATTCCAGTCACATTTATCGCATGATTTCGTAATACATTATTCATGCATTAAAGTTGAAAAGCTCACTAAGTGATCATAATTCACTAGCTTGTGACATTAATAACTCATTGGATAGTCAACATGTTGTTTAAAAATCACTGCACATCATCACGTTAATGAACAGGAATTTCTCACATAATTTAAACAATTTTTTCATTCATCAAATGACTTCCAAACATGTTTACTTTAGATTTAAAAGAATTCCTTTAAATATGTTTATTTAGCAAATTAATTCTTGTCGAATGTTGCAAATAGTTTTGAATTTATAAAATTATATTTTTGGACATAGTCCAAGAAAACTTTTTTTTTTCTCCCTTGTTGTTGCTGGTGCTCATATTTTCCTTGCTTCGAAAAAAAAAACAATACAGCAATAAGAGATATTCAAAATAAAATGCGGCAATAAAATAAATCAATGTACAATCGCAATAAATATTCGAATATCTCTCACAATTCTTTAGTATAAAATTCAATTTAAGGCTTTAAATTTCAAGTTCAATTTAAAATTGCATAAACCATTTTACACATGCTGTCATAATTCAATATAACAAAACCGATAAAGGTATATCGAATGCAATTTACCGCAAGCTTTACAAATTTGTGGATACAATTTTTATATTCACACCGTTTTCACGTGTGAATCTATTGGTTTTGTTCAGATTGAAAAATCAGTTTTTCGCATTTTGTGAGAAAACAAAGCAAAATTGGTTATAAAAGGGCAAGAAGAAAAGTTTGTGCCTGAAATTTTACATCATTTTCAAAAAACAGATTTCAAATTGGTTGTGACATTGCTGAGAAAATCGCAAAATACGCTTTCTGTAAGCAAGCAAGCAAGCAAGCAAGCAAGTTAATCAGCAAGAAATCTCAATAACGAGACATCGTAGAGACTTCTAGTTTTTTACATTTGATCCGTGCTGCTCTATAGAAGAGCTGTATTGTTTTTGGGCAAGGTAGGAACAGCCGTTGCTTCAGAAATGGCAAAAGAAATGACTGTGATTTTTATAAAATTCAACCTTGGATGAAAAATTTTTTTAAAAAACTTTTAAAGAATATTTGGCATATTCGTCAAGCTTTATACCTTCAAACTTATGCTGAGCGTAGCTCAGCTGACTCGATAGCTTTATATCTTCAAACTTATGCTGAGCGTAGCTCAGCTTACGCGATAGCTTTATAACTTCAAACTTATGCTGAGCGAAGCTCAGCTGCCTCTCTAGCTTCATATCTTCAAACTTATGCTGAGCGTAGCTCAGCTTACGCGATAGCTTTATAACTTCAAACTTATGCTGAGCGAAGCTCAGCTGCCTCTCTAGCTTCATATCTTCAAACTTATGCTGAGCGTAGCTCAGCTTACGCGATAGCTTTATAACTTCAAACTTATGCTGAGCGTAGCTCAGCTGACACTCTAGCTTTATAACTTCAAACTTATGCTGAGCGAAGCTTAGTTGACTTATCAAGCTTCATACCTCCATACTACTGATGGGCAAATCTTGGTCTATCCATAAGACTTATGATAGTACGGTGTGAATATAATCCGCATTGGATTTCTACCCGATACACTAGTTTTATATTCATTTGTTGAACATGTTTTTGGACGAAGATAAAAAGTGCAACTGTAATGTATCCGAGTTTATTTTGTTTACGTTTATTCAGACAACACGGGAAGACAAGTTGTAAATAGAAACCACAGAAACGAGATATCTGCATATAGACACAATGTGCATACGGAAGAAATATAACCTGTCATCGGCATATGTTGTTCAAATGCAATCGCTGCAATTCGTGGATTTTTTTTTAAGATTGTAGTTCATGTTTTTGTTTGTGTATATTAACAATACCTTTAAGCACAAAGGTCTTAACCATAGCATTCCGAATTATTTGATAAATTTGAGATTGTATTATTATTATTATTATTATTATTATTTATTATTATGTTTGCTTTCACTCTTACAAAAGGAAAAAGCCCCCTTAAATATTACTTAAATTATTTAAGAAGGCATAAAAAACCTTTTTCGAGCAACGGAGAAATATACATAAATATGTCATATACAATGAGAACTTTAAGTTAATTATACATATTCTCTTGCAACAGCTTAAGTAAGAAGAGTTTCAGTGCAACAAGTTGCCTTTAAGAAATCTCTTATCAAAACAATTATAAAAAAAAGCTCTAATTAGTAACAGTTACTCTAGGTTTGAAAAAAATAATTGATCTAATAGTTCTACATAGAGAATAACCGCTTTCATTACATTCTGCAATTTTGTATGTAATCACATATACTTCACAAGCACTAGTAGAAATCAGTTTGTTATAATACATTTTTTTTTCCTTAGTGAACTCAAGTCGGTTTCAAGTCGACTAAAGTGAACATGAAAAAATCAACTCGGTTAAAAGTCGACTCGAGTGAACACGAAAAAATCAAGTCGGTTTCAAGTCGACTAAAGTGAACACGAAAATATCAACTCGGTTAAAAGTCGACTCGAGTGAACACGAAAAAATCAACTCGGTTAAAAGTCGACTCGAGTGAATACGAAAAAAATGAGTTCACTCGAGCTGACTTAAAACCGATTGAAATTTTAGTGAAGTGAAGTGAGTTTGCTTCATCGACTTCGACCTCTGGGTCAAACTGAAGTTTATCCCTAAATTTTAAATGTAAAAGCGCTAAATCAACAATTTAAAATTCCCTTTTAACTTATTCGTTTCAGTTACAACTTTAAAATCTCTATCTAGACTACTCCACATATGTGTTTTTTATTGAGTGTTCAAATATGTTATTGAGGACATTTACAGCCAAATGGATATGAAATTAATACATTACTTGGACAATCAGAAATAATTGAATGTGCCCACTAGAAAGAACTTTGTAATGTTCATTGAAATTGAAATAAACAGATTAAAAAAAACGAAATTGTGAAATGAAAAATGTATGACAAATTCACATATGAGAAGTGAAAGATAGTGAGTGTATAGTGTGCTTGGTGCTCGAAAAAAGAAGACAAACATGAATGTAATATGGCCATTAGCAATCTGATGACAAAATTTCATTACACATGGATTTACGTGACTATTGTTGGACTGTTATTGTTAATATAAGTTTCAAACAATTCATTTCTGATGATGTAGTTGTTGGCCAATTATGAATCAAATGCTAAATTGTTCCAACAATTTTGGAAATAATAATCAACAATCGTTTGAATTGAGTAGCGGGAATAATAATAGTAACATCATCATAAACATCAATAATACTGATCTCTTTATCAATGATAGTGCAGCATTGACACCGACTATTTTCGATGATGCCATACAATGCATATTAAATTTTAATTCAAGTCCAATAGAAATAACAAATCACCTTGCAACGCAATTCGATTTCAATGCATTTAGTGATAATTTAACAGCGTCGATAAATTCAACAGACTTTTCAATTCTATCCGATGGCAACGAAGGACCACGATATGATTGGACATTTCTATTTGCCATATTCTTTATCATTGCTGGTGGTCTTGGCAATATTCTCGTTTGCTTGGCGGTAGCATTAGATAAAAAACTACAAAATGTAACAAATTATTTTCTTCTCTCGCTGGCTGTTGCTGATTTATTGGTCAGTTTATTTGTGATGCCATTGGGAGCTGTTCCTGCATTTTTAGGTGAGTTTAAGTTTATTTTTTTAAAACGTGTGTAATTATTATCATCATCATTATGGTTGAATGTGCTCTAAACAATGTTTTAGGCTTTTTTAGAATTAATTAAGTTTTTTTTTAAAGCAAACAAATGTTGAGCACGTCATTGGAATATTCAGGGTGGTGTTGGAAAATTTCGTGTTTCTTAGTAGTTTAATGTGAAGATAGGCACAGCGGTGAAGAACAAGATGATTTATAGTTTGTATAAGTCAGATGTTTAATGAAATTACGGGGGTTTCGGTTATGAAACTTGTGGGAAATTGAGGACAGAAAATATAGCCGTGTACTTAAAGCTGAATTGAAGGTGTGTCTCATAACTAGAATTTGTAAATTATAAGCATGGTTTAAACATGTACGAGTTGAAGATCGTGTCTGATGTGGAGGTATATCCACAAATATGAAGTTTTAATTTTTTATTAGTCCTGCAACATTCCTAAACTCCTCCATTTCGCTCTAAACTCATTAAATCATCAAAACTATTAAAACACAGAACCTCATAACTCTCCAAAAATAATTACGACATGAAAAACTTTTTTTTTATTTTCATTATTTGTTGTCTCTTCCTCTCCAGCGATTTTTATGTCAACTACTTTATTACGTAGTGAGATAAACACGTATTTGTTTTACAAATATGATATAATCACATCACAAATGTTATTATAATTGGAATGTCAGATTATGAAAATATAATTTTTTTTCGGCATGGTAAAAAATTGACGTCATGCTAGAATGAAGCTTTTGATGTCGATGATAACGAATCAATAATTAATTTTCATGGTAAAATATTACGTTGAATATTTTTGCTCTATAATTTTTGAGACGATTTTCCAAAAATGATTCGCTGTCATAACTTTGATATTTAAAATTAGATTTTAATAGAAATTCTGATAAGCTGTTTGATGAGTATCTATATTTAAGTGATGTGGAAATAAATCCTATTTTTGATCAGTTTATGAAGTTCTTTTTACATTCCAGTTCAAATTATTTTTCTAATCCAAAATTCTATAAATGTACAGTCATTATCATTAGTATTTAAAGAACAACAAGAAATGGCTCAATTTTCAGTTTCTAAAATGAATTATTTTCTAAATTCCATTACGTTCCAAGTAAAATAACAATCACGAGTAAGATGAGAAAGAGAAATTTCAAACACATTTAAAAAATATTTTAATTTAAATTGAATTTACGTGTGGCTTCTCTTCGCTTCTCACAATGTATTTTATCATAAAACGTTATTTTATGTATGAAAATGAGGAAATTTTGTAAAGAGTTTTTAGTGGATGAGGGAGACATTGGCGCATTTTTGAATGGAACCTACTATCTCATATAGCAAGGATTCGTACAGTACTCAACATTAGTTCAAATTATAAAAACTCATACAACTTAATTCCAGAACCTACAAATTCAAAAATGACCTCATTTTCCCAGGAAAAAAGTAATTTATCTTCCAAAAAACCTCTTATTTGCTTTATCGACTAGACTATACTTAAAATATTATCCCAACAAACTGCTCTTATCACTTATTTGTGTTTCCAAACGGATGTTAACCTTAAGAATTAATTATCATCATTATTCAGTACAGAAACAAATTCTGGAAATTTCATGAACACAAACACCTTTTCTCATTAAAATGAGCTTCCCAAAAAAATGAGGAAAATTCTCTCCGCAACCATGCCAAAATGAAAATATTATAAATGATTATTTTGTTAGGCCGCATTTCTTTACACTCAAACAACAAAAGACGAAGAGATTAAAAAATTTTCCAAAAAGTACTTTAATTCTGGTTGAAGAAAATGAGATTTATTTACTTTCTCTTCCTTTTTTCGAATTTTCCATGCATGGCTGGAGGAACTTCAAAGATTTTTCACTTAACTTATAAAATTTTGTAGCATATTTATATAACAATATGTTGGAGTAATTTTTAATCTGTTACAAATGCTAATGTATTCATCTCCCGCATGTATATAATATAAAGAAATTTTCAGCTCTTTCTTGTCAAATAAATTTACATATTTTACTTGCTTTATGTGCCTACATATCCATATATCCTCAAACATATGATGACATCGTTAAGTTGTTTTGGTATAATTTTATTCCATATTGTGTCGAAACTCTTAAGGTTAAGAAACAAGAGAACAACATTGAGATGAGCTTCAATGAAACTGCAATTTAAAATTCCTTTCAATCATTTAAGCCTTATGCCTCATGTAAATATTCTCATTCACAACAAACAAACGATAATGTTGACATACATGCTCAGCTATATACGATATCATATGCTTAAGAGTTCCATTCATAAGTGAAAATTTACAAAGAGCGACGATAGAAAGAAAGAAAATGAGTGGGAAAAAAACATATCATTATGGATGGATGGATGGAGCATTCATAGCGACTAACAAAAAACAACTATTAGAATTATTTTAAAGCAAAACACCGTGCATAATCTAGAGAGGAAGGAAGCATAGCGACAGTAAAGAAAAATACTTTACAAAAAGATTTAAAAAGAAAGTTGAAGACTTTTGAGTTTTATTCACGGTTAAAGCGCAGTTTTATGTTGCTTTATAGCAAATAATTGGTTTATAATGCCAAAGGATATCATCCTTGAGGCTAAATTTCCAAAATCTTGCTATAATGCAAAACAAACACTTGCTTAGTAGAAATGAAATAATCTCTTAAAAAATTCAGCGTCGAGCAGTGTTTATAGTTACATCATGACACAGAAGGTGCACTAATATTCTTTAAAAGCTGCTCGCTGTCAATAAAGGAATTGAAAGACATTTTAAATGAAGAGATTATTCAAGTATTTTGAGCAACAACTACGTTATTTTGTAAACAGGAAGAGATCTTTTGTTTATGAAATCGATACAAGCTTGTATATAAGCGATTATGTGCTTACATCATCATGAATACACCACATTATCAGCATGCATGCATTCAAACTATGAACTACCATCTTTTTTTTTTTTCTTAAATTTTTAGTTATCTTTACGAAACTTTTTATGTATCTATTCCACACAAACCCTTTCAATGAGACTATTTTCTTTTTTCAGGGTATTGGCCTTTAGGATTCACATGGTGTAACATATATGTAACATGTGATGTACTGGCATGTTCAGCGAGCATCCTGCATATGTGTTTCATTAGTTTAGGCAGATATTTAGGTATAAGAAATCCATTAGGATCTCGTCAAAGTTCAACAAAACGTCTTACAGGCTTTAAAATAGCTCTTGTGTGGCTACTTGCTATGCTCATATCATCATCAATTACCGTATTAGGTAATTATTTTATTATATTCAACATAAAATCGATATCGACAATTGAATGAACTAATAAACACTTAATTTCTATGACAACAGGTATCATTGATGAGGAGAATATTATGCCTGAGCCGAGGACATGCGTTATAAACAATCGTACATTCTTTATCTTTGGTTCACTATTTGCATTTTACGTTCCAATGGTTCTTATGGTAATGATTCTTCTCTTATCTATTTATTAATGCATACTCATATTTACAAACATCCATTATGGCTCTTACAGGTCATCACATATGCTCTTACGGTTCAGCTATTGAAAAAGAAAGCTCGATTCATTGTTGAGCATTCAGAAAGTGAAACGTTTCGAAGGTAAACACTTGTTTCTTCCTCTTCCTATCCTTTTTTTTTGCTTCATCATCAATACTTTTATTCTTACCAAACAAAACATAAGAGAAAGTACGTGATAGTAAATAAAAATCTGCTTTCATGCATCCATGATAAAGGAGTATATATAATATTTACTTGAAAGGATCAAGAACATTGAGAAAGAGAGAAAAAAATCTTTTTTTGATACATTTTGGCTTACACATATAGCTTCTTATTTTGAATGTGATGAAACTGCTTAATCTGAGTTTAACTTTGTTTATCCCTTTGTTATAATCTTATTGTATTATAATTTTTGTTTTCTTGTTTTTTCATTTGAATCATCCTTTTTTCCATTCTACCAACGCTCTGACTTATGTGAGTCATTATATCAGGCAAGAGCAAAAAGCCAATTACGAAAAAAAGGGGGCAATTAAGGAAGGAGTTATGGCAGATAAATTTAATTTCATTTTAGAAATTAATAATTGCATTATGGGAAGGAAACTTGTGTGATGATGGAATTGATTTTCAGTTGCAGAATCAAATATTAAATTTCATGATTCATCTTAGGAAATTAATTAGTTTTTGAAAGGAAATTTGAGAATTTATCGATACTCAAAAGTTATTCTTTTAAGTGTTTAAAACTTTATCTTGTCTATGATTATGATATTAATTTTGCTCAAATAAAATTGGCAATTTCTGCTATTTTCAATGCCAAAAAACTTGATTTGACAAATAGATTTAGATTCAAATGCCAGCAGCAAAAACTACACGTAAATGAAAGTTTTCATGCCTCAATTGTATTCAATTTTCCTCTATCACATTTTGTTATCCACAACAACTTGGGATAAATGTTCAACTAGCATATAACAATGTAATTCATCGCATTATAATTAGATTTTTGTTTACCATAATTTATGACAGTTAATTTATTTATTAATTTACAGACCATTTTTTTTTGCCTTATCAATTCATTCATTTTTTCCCATTCTCATTTGAATGCATTTGACCACAAAATAAGATTAATTATAATTATGAATGGAATAGCGATTATGAAGCAAAAAGCTAGACTCTGAGAAAAGGAAGAAAAATTTCCATAAATAATTCAATGTTCTTTTCTTCCGTTTTTACAAATGTTATTTAAAAAAAATCTAATTTTTCTTCTTATTGTGTCATTTCCACTTATCTATACAAATAATCATGTGACAGACTTGGCGGTGGTAGGTACTCATCCAAGCAATCAACCTCAAGTGATCATGAACGTAATGCGCGTAAAGAAGAGGCGCGAAATAATAATAACAAAAATATCTCGCATTCCCAATCTCAAAATTCAATGAACTGGCGCACACATGGTAGCGGTGGAATTCTCAAATCCGAGAGGTATATTAATAGAGTTAACTGAGTTATTTTTATGGACTGAAACTGTCGTGAAAGCGCATTTTATGAGGTTCTAAATTTTGAAATTTCTGCAAATTTTTGAGCTATTAAGATTAATTTTGAATTAAAAAGTACGACGAGTCAGAACAGGTCATTCACACTTAATTTTTTATTTAAGCTAGCTAAGATAAAGTAATAAAGTAAATAACATTTCATTTTCGCTTTATCACAATTGCAAAGTTCAATATTTTCTTAACTTGAATTGAAAATTTTTACTTTATGTATTCAGTCCATGAAACTAGAATTTTGCTTCTCATACGCGGAAAGCAAAGAAGTTTACTTAACAGCCAATTTAATGCCACAAATTTTTTCTTCTCCATATCAATTCGACACCCCCCACGCAACATACGCGATACAGGTCAAACAATATGAGTACGAGTACGTCGCATCCCTTACTCAATTTCAACAATAACAATAATAATGGCAATTCAAGAAGCTTATTTTCGTCGTCACGTGGACAAACACATGATAAGAGCACACAGACGCCGGAAAGTATTGAGCGTGAAACGAGGCGACAAAAATTTCGTTCATTAAAAACTTTCAAAATCAATAATGTGCCAACGCCATCACTGAATTTTAAAATAAGCTTTTTAAATAGTCGGAAGCGTACAAATTTATCAGCAAATGCTGTGGCGACTGAACAAAAAGCGACAAAGGTGAGCAAAATGGATTGGTTTTTATGTTAGAATTATGTCAGTTATGCCAGAAAAACGTGGCATTCGAGTAATGAATTTAATTTCATTTTTACCACTTGTTTTCAAACCCATTCATGAGAATGTTTGTGCTCGACATTGTGTTGCAAAATTTGATTATTGTTTTTCATTCTATTACAGGTTTTAGGACTCGTCTTTTTCACATTCGTCTTGTGCTGGAGCCCGTTCTTTATTCTTAATATATTCTTTGCAACGTGCCCTAAATGTGAAGTTCCCGACCACATTACAAATGTAAGTTTTTTTATTGCTTAACAAGGGAAGGTGCATGTATGGTCTGTGATTTACGTCGAGAAAACTTTAAGATTTTCATGGAAATCTCATGAAATACTCGCTTGACAGAAACTTTTTTATGACCCAAATAAAAATTTTCTTTTCCCATTATTTTGATCAACAACTTTTTATTTTTGTAATACTTCAACAAAGATTTGACTAATATTATTAATTTATAAATCAAATAAGATTTTTTTATGGTTCAATTCCTCTCTTTGCCCATATCAACTACTTATATAATCTTCTTACATTCATTCTTTTCTATTTCTTTTATTACATTTATTTTAGATTTGTTTGTGGTTGGGATACGTGTCATCTACCATAAATCCAATTATTTATACAATATTCAACAAAACTTTTCGAGCAGCATTCATACGTCTACTCAAATGTAAATGTCACAAGTAAGTAAAATCGGAACTAAACCGTTCTATGTTATTTGTTATTTTTTTTTTTATTCACAGTCCCCCTTTCAAATTTTATTTTATTTCCTTAACTTTTAAGGAAGGAAAATAAAAGAGAAAGAACGAAAGAAGCTTAAAAAGGATTATCTTAAATTTAATTTCAGATCGGGTCGACCGTCTCGATACCGTAGTGTTACAGATGCTCGTGGAACTATTAGTTTATGTGTGCCATCAGCATTGCCATTGGCTATATCATTACAAGGCGCTCCACTCTTAACACCATCATCAGTTCAGACACCGTTAAGTGAATTTCGTACAAGTTATCAAATTACTGATGAGGATTGTTAAATCTTAATTTAATAAATTAATGATAATTAGTCGTATTTATTTCTTATTGTACTTAATTTGAAGAGAGTTCATTGATGCTAAGAGGACACTTTCTATTGTAAGAAAGCGACAGGAAATAAAATTAAAGAAAATGGATTCATTGTGTCTCTAATAACATTATATAAATTGTTGTTGAGATGAAACAATCACGCTTTTATTTACTATTAAGTTGATTAAAAAGAAACTTTTTTTTTGTGGCTAACAATGAGTGCCAAACATTTTTAAGGTATTGACAAAGCTCTCACATTGTATGCACCGCTGTATCAGTGACTTTGAATTCTATTAATAAAATTAATAGCTAACGTTAAGGTAATCAGATTATTATGATAATAATCTAAAATTTTCAACATTTATTTCTGCAATAAAAACGCACAAAAAAATGGTTTTTAAAATTTTTCTCATATCGAGATTTTGGATTCCAATAAATCTGCACTTGTGCATTTTAAACTTTAAATTCTTATAGAACATGAAAATTGAAGTCGGAGCACGCAAGAAAAATCAAATTTAAATATAACAAGAATCCGAAAAATTAATCCTTACCTAACCCTAGAACAATCAAACTCAAATAAAAGCGTGTAAATAAAGATGAAGAATTTCTTTTAATACGAATTTAGTTTCACTTTCGATGAGAATGTTTAAATAATGATAATATTATAAATCGAAAATACATAAATTATAAGATTGTGATACAAGTGATAAACAAATCAAGCAGAAGGAAGGAATGTGTAATACAAAAATAATAAAAATAATGTTTAAATGTAAATGTTTTGTCCGTTAGTGTTATTTAAATACAAAGATATTGGATAGATTATTTAGATAATGTTTAAATAAAGAAAAGATGATGAAAATAAATAAGCAAATGAGTTATAATTTATTTTTCTCTGCAATTAGTTACAGAAGTTGATCTCATTTTCAATGTCACCGAGAAGCCAAGCTGATAATTCAATATAAACAAACCCAGAACGTTTTACTCGGTTATTTATGCTATTAATGTTGTGACTAAATAGATTAGTTTAACGAACGATAAACGAGAGATGAAATGAAGGTGGACGTGGTGTAAATGTCGAACTGAAGTATATCCATCTGTCTTTGCAGTGTGTTTTGTAAAGATAAATGTATTCAGTTTGTTCTGTTGACTGGGTTATTTATATTACGAGTAGACCTATCAATTTCAGATCTTATGCAGTTTGCTTTCGCTTTGTTTAGAAAATGGCAACAGCTATCAGCAACAGTGTTTTGTTTATTCAATTTCGTGAAGAAGTTATTTTTAGAAAGTGATAGAAAATCCGAAAACATTGACAATTTATATTAGCCAACGAGAAATTCTATAATCATTTGAGTTGGAGCTATTTTCATTCAATGAAATTTGTTGGAGTTGAATTAAAATTACATTTGAAATAAAAAACTTTAATATTTGCTTTTGAATAGCGAACTCTGAATTAATATACCTCTAAGAATTTTCAAACGTTTTCAGGATAAATCGCGTTTGAAGTTGTCACAAAAACATCGTTAATACTGTACAAAAATCAACAGCATTTGAATTAACATAAAAGCTTCACTCAAAGCTTTTATCCTAAAATTGTGTCTCGACTAAAGTGAGCTTTTTAACATTTCCAGACAAACAAACGATTTTCATTTCTTTAGAATTGTTTGTGAAACTTAATATAAATATAAAATAATTTTTATAAATTCTCTTGACATTTGAAATTATTGGTCCAGATACTTCCAATTCCCTATTACCATGTCAACAAACACAGAATTAAATCCTCAAATAACAAATTTCTTGACACAGAAAACTCATTGAATTCATTCACAATAACATGTGTTTTTATAAAGGAATAACAAAAGCTACCCGTATGGAAATTCAACACAACTCATTTACAATGTCCCCATACCATTTGCGGATAAAGGTACTGCTATGCAAATCAAATGGAAATAATAATTCTTATATTTTCTCTATAAATTTATAGGAAACTTCCAATGGTGATTAATTTTGTTGTTACCAACTGTTATTCAAATTGCATCACTTTTTGGTCGTTTACATGCTTTATTCATTTATACAATTTTAGTCGTGTTTAATAATTAAAATTAATTACTTTCGACATTCATTAAATTCTTTGCATTCTTTTTTCTCTGTGGCATGTTTTTGTATATTTAACTTATGGTTGCAGTTTGTGTGTGGAATTTTTGAAGAATTGTACCTGAACAATAGTCATGATTTATAACTCTTTTAAGTACATCAAGTGTTAGTATCTCATATAATTCATCAATTATCAGTTGTCCTCCTTCCTTATCATAACTAAGTCATAATATTCAATTAAAATGCAAAATTTCATATCTCAGATATTGATCAAATTTCAAATGCAATCATATCTCAAAATAGACAAATTAAGGCTCTATCTTCTTCACAAACAGCATAATTTTTCATAAAAATTCAAATCATATTCATTAAAGCCCTTGACACAATTTCTCTTAAAATTTCAGCCATCCAAAACACCAACTCATTCCCATCACTTCGATATTATTAAAGCATCAGTAGTGACTAATTTGAGTGTATATACGCAACGTTATTAAGACTCTATTTTTGAATACACTCATTCAAGTCAAGTCATTTATAGCCTTTGTTTCTTCATCATTTCGACAGTCTTATTGTGAAAATAAAGAAGGAAGAAAATTATGGAAAAGAATGAAAATATTTTAATAGAAAAGTTTTCTCTCTTTCGTTATTATTATATTTCTATTATATAAACACAGAGTAATAAGAAAATGAAATGAATACACAGCTCTTGAGTGCCGCGAGTTGGAGACACGACAGTAAAAAAATATACATACACAAAGGAGTGAGAGAAAGGGGTTTTAAATTGAATAAGTATGTAGGAAAGAAGTGGCTCTGTGGATGGGGGGAGATGATAAATATTTTTCTAATTTCCATTGTAATGACTGCATTAAATTGTAATTATCATGATGATGACGTGATATACAAAAGGACGAGAGAACAAAAGTCGTAGGTATGAGCTTAGTATGACACGAACAAGTATGGATGCTCTTGTAGGCGGGATTTTTTTTTTGCCTTCTATTTTAATAGATTTTATATAAAGCATCCTTTCGAATGATATGGTTGATTTAAATCATATAATATCCACTTGTTAGAAACAGAAAGTATAAAAACTGTTATGAATTTCAATGGAATTTTGATTACTTTTAAATTGCTTCCTTGAAATCTGATCAGAAATCAGATTTATTTATGTGACAATTAAATTGATTATATTAGTAAAACTTCATACTTTACTAATTCTTGGCCATTTAAGCACTTACCATCTAGAATATGATTGAAACCAGAACTTAATGACTTTTCCGTGTATTTATAAAATATTTTCAATAAAATTCAACCCCAATTTTCATCAGACTCTTAAAAACTTTTCTCTATAAAAGCACTTCCTTAACTGGACCGTTTCTCCCCTCGTTATCCATTTTTCTAATCAAAGATTAATGTCGGTCAAGAATGCACAGCTAAATTCAACTCAGAATTGAACAAATAAATTTTAATTCTAACTTGAAGCTAAATGGATTGCGGTCGTGAAAAACACAACGAAGAAAATAAAAAAGGAAACTTTCAGCCATAATTTCTAGAAAGAACTAAGTTTACAGTTTATCTTATAGGGAAGTTTATAAATTGTGGATATACTAAAAGTTACAAGAAGCCGAGCATGTCAATCAAGTCTTTCGTTTAAAAATTTTAATTGCAGCAGGTTACATCATTTTTAAAAGACCCCCTCAGATTTACAAGCAACTCTAAAGAGAGTCCTTCCTCACTTCAAGCAATTTAATTTTTAAAGCGCTACTCATATGAATTGCAATAAATTTCACCCAGTTTCTCAGAAGTTGAATAACAAATTCATTAAATAGTTATAGCAAGTAATGAAAAAGTAAAGCTAAAGTCCTCGCTCTTCTAAAAAACAAAGTTCCCGTATAAGAAGAAAATGATTATTAAAATGGATATAACCTCGAATTCATTTAATTAATTACGTGTCATTAGCTATCTTCCAACATCGTTTTGTTTGTGTGACACTTCTATCTTCTCTCTCTTTTACAGCCATTGAAGTTTGAGTGCACAGTAAAGGAAGGAAGAGCACCGAGGGAGAACACTAAGAAAGATGGTTTACGAGCAATAAATAAATAACTAGATAGACTGATGACTGAATGTATATTTGATAAAGAGAAAACGACTCGTCATCTGTTCGACTATGTCAAGTGCAAAAAAGAAGAAGAAATAAATAAAAATTGTTGTAATAATATTGTGTGTAAACAAAAATTGCGAAGGAAGCACGTTTTTCTATATCGGGTAATACAAGCAATGCTATTTTTTTCTCGGCGCGTAATGCAACATCTTTGTAGATTGCCGAGTGTGCGCAGACCATCAGCCAGATGCACTTTCCCATTGATGCCTTTTCGTGTCTTGTGAATGAAATAAAATGTTGAGCCAGTCTTATTTCAACCGAGCAATGAAGCAGTTTGGAAAAATAAAATAATAAAATATTTCAATTGCCGCAATAACATCAATTATTTTTTTAAAGCATAAAGATGAACTTGAAAATGGAATTTTATTACATTGTGTGGATTATGTAAAGAAGTAGCAATCGATCCTGCTATTACAATAAAATAATATAATAGCATCCTCATAAAAACAATCAATTAAATTGGAATAGTAAAGTGCAACTATAAATGAATATTTTAAAGCGTTTCTTTTTTTTTTGCATTTCATTGCAAAATTGTGAGTTGTGAATAATTAAATAAATTTTCTTCGTTCTCCTTTCTCGCTCTACAGCTGACCACGGTACTCATATAGCCCTTGAGGAAATATCAATAGATTTTTATGTGCTTTTAATTCAGATTTTTTGTGAGTTAATTTTTGTTTGTCAGACCAAAAACTAATTTTTTGGATTGTTTGATTGAAATTTGTG